ATGACTGTACTATTATGCTGTACACTAGAAACTGATACAACATTGTAAACTGACTACACCTCAATTTTTAAAATAATTTTAATAAAATAAATTAAAATTAAAAACAATAACAAAAACAACAACAAAAACAGATAACCAGTAAGGATCTACTGACTAGCACAGGGAACTACAGTCAGTATCTTATAATATTGCATATATATATATATATATGCATATATATATATGCAATATTGCATATATATATATATATATATAACTGAGTCACTTTGCTGTACACCCAAAATTAACACAACATTGTAAATCAACTATACTTCAGAAAAAAGAATAGATAAGTCCAAAAACAAAAAACAAAAAAACCCCTCCAAAAAACAAAAAAGACAATGTGTTTATCAGGACTGTTGAACATCAGAGAGGTCAGGATCGCAAAACCTGATGCTTGCTGTCAAAAGGAAATACAGCTGGTATAGTTACATCCTAGACCCCCAACATTGCATAAGTGCCTATAATATTGTTTGCTATTAATTATAGAATTTAAAACACTTTCTATAAAAGTCTAGAAAGACGAACTTGATGCTAAATGATGGTCACCCATCTAGGGTGACATGAAGAGGACCACTGTGTTCTTCACATGTTGTTTTCCATTTTATTTTCCAATAAGTATATGTTACTTTTAGATTCCGGAAAAAAATATGTCTGTTTCAAACAAGAAACTTCAACATTTTCTTCAAAAAGTCATATGAACATTTAAGTCTGCAATTTGGTGTTTGGTGGATATTTTGAAACTTGCTGCAGTGGCTTGTCCCCTCTGATGAGTTACTTTCTGAAGGGCGTCTTTTGGAACCCGTTAGAAATAACCATCAGAATCGGGGTTCAACAGTGGGAGTTCGTTCACTCAGTCCAATCCAATCATTATCGACAAATTTGCATTGAGAATGCTACCTCAACCATCACTTAGCCATTCCTCAAAACAGCCTGATGGGAAAGCTGGAGATAATTACCCCTGTTTAAAAGTGAGACCAGCCAACAGTGCCCCGTTGAGTAGACTGATTCCCCAGTTATGCAGTCATGACTGCTGGGAACCGTGCCACATTTCAGGGCCACCGCACATCCAAGAAGACATTCAAGAGTGAGAAGTTTTTAAAATAGCCCCAACATTTCTATTTCACAAACACTTGGGTTTAGATTTGCTCAAACTCGACAATGTTGATCCGCCTTGCAAACCTTTCCAAATGCAACACCAGGTCTATCCAACCACTTTTCACGGCAACCCAACTGTAAAATGTGCAGCAGTGTGGATGTGCTTGTAAGATGCTCACAAACTCCCCTAAGTGTACTAACAGAAGTATCATCATGACAAAGTGATAATCGAATAACAAATACATATTTAATGTCCAGTATGAACAGGGATGGGGGCAAGAAATCAGACCCCTACAACCCTGCCTTTGCTCTAAGGTACCTACAGTTTGATAAAGAAACCAGTCAAGTGCATAGAAAACTTAAGTACTGCAGAACAGCTATCAAACGTATTTACTTTCAATTTTAGAATAATCATTTTTTTCTATGTCTCTCTCCACCAAAATACATGCCTTTTACAGTCATTTTATTTAAGCTTAAGGTGCAGTGATTGCTGCACACGTTCCTTTAGAAGGTTGGAAAGCTTCCAGGAATGGAGTCCCGAAATTATTTATTTCACTCCTTAAACGACGCTGGTGAACACTTTCTTTCAAGAAGGAAAATATGAAAGCACAATCAACCTAAGAGAAAACGTTCTGAATAATTAAAACATGTCTCTAGCTGCCCATGGAAGGATAACAAATGTAATGAATTAGTGTGTTACCACTTTCCATTACCTTACGCCATCATATGTAGTAATCCTTTTAAAATACACACACACACACACTCTCTCAGACATACATGCTTGTTGTTTTTACTGGAAGAGCATTCTCAATACCTCTCAAACAAGCGAAAATCCTGTTTACATTCTTGTCTGCCCCAGTTTATGGCTTCACAAGAATTTATTCTTCCTTTTAAGCACACACAGACTGTCCTCAAGCCCTTTTTTGGCTGGTGGCGCCTCTTCAGAGCAGTTTAGAGGCCAATGGCTCCCTCTTCCTTGATCCCAGGGTAAAGTCAAAAGGAAAAAAAACAGACTCAAACGACCTACCCTCCTGCACGTCACGTCCGACTCCTCATTCAAAGGGGTACTCTGGGCGGCAGGTGGAGTTATAATTATAGGCCAGAAAAAGCGACCTCAGCAGCTGTTGCTTCTGTTTGTTCCCGGCCGTCACTGTCATCAGTGGGCAAACTGGCATAAACAGGCTTCTGCGAGTGGACAGACATTTAACCCCTGTACTCGCCACACCCTGGGTCCTCTCAGAGGCCAGGGGACGGAAAGAGTACCTGACTCTGCGTGAGTGAAGGGTGGACGGAGCGCACAGCGCCGACCCGAAGGCACCTCTGCAGGGGGAGCCCGGAGATTTCCTTTCCTGTCGGAGACTCCAGACCAAACAAATAGGTTAGTGCACAGAGTCGACCTACGCGTTTGCATTCTGACCTCTGCTCTATGTGATCTTGGTTTTTCCGAACAGAGCTTAAATAGGAGGGTGAGCCGTTAAAGGAAAGAAAGTCATTTCAGGACTGTTATTTAAAACTGCAGTGTCCGTGAGACCCAATTACGAAATGGGCTATGACAAGATACTTCAATTTTAAAAAGCAGAGGAAAAAAAATGTTATGAGATTGGGCTTAACGCTCCTTTCCCAAGTTTGGCTGTGGTCACATTAGACAAATAGACAGAGTAAAGATGGAAAAAAATGAAACCGGCTTTGTGGTATGAAACCCATCCTTTCGTAATGCATTTACTTTCGCCCCAAAGCCCTGGTTTCTTATTAAAATCAGTCATGTTAAAGGCTTAGTCTGGCAATGACAGAAAAAAAGTGAATATAGCTCCAGAGTTTCACTTTTTTAGGGAAACTAAGCAAATGAGAGTTGAATGTTTCCCTGCCTCTGAATAAAGACAGAAATTTTCCTTGTTTATGATAAAATGCGTGCTGTGGGCTACTTTATGGAATAAATCTAGAGGATTTATTACCTTTGTCTAGCACAGTTCTGCCAAAAAACTCCGTAATTTCAGTCTAAGTAGCTCTGTAAGTCTCTCCTCACAGACCCTTCTGAACCCCGAAGTTTCCGAAGAAAGATCATTTTCTCTGTGTACGCGCAGTATTAGAGAGCTGTGCAATGGGATTTCAAACAGAGATTAGCTTTGGGACGTCTTCTGAAAACCTGAATGTTTACCAACGTCTTGGTGAAAAGCAATGGAATTCCAGAGAACTCACTGAAAACTAGGCTTTGGGGTCCAGTTCTCTTCCTATCCACATCCATGGAACAGATTCAGGTGGAAAGAATCCTAAGTAACAGCCTCAGTTTTGTTTTGTTTTTTTTTTCAGCTCCAAATAGAAAGCGACCCATCCCTAAGCACGTTACATGCGACTTCTCAGTGGGAAAATGCACCTTGCTTAGTATCACTGTGGCCCCATGTTTTGTCTACCTTCAGAGGTGCGTGGAGTGCTAACTATGCACTTGGAGCTCTAGCAGAGAGACACTTAAATTAAAGCCACCCAAAGTAACGCATCAATTAAATCCCCACAAGGGGCTTGTTTCTTTCCATCAATATCTCCTGATTTCC